TATCTCCATTTACCATCATCATCAATTACATCTAATAGAAAGGAAATGTATTTTCTCAACATACTAGTATTTATGTGAAATGAACATTCACCATTCTACTTATTATTGCTGGACTACTAGAGATATTCTTTACCTTTTGAGATATGAGCAATAATCATTTACAATATGTAATGAAAATGAAATCAGGCAATTCGTGAGCTTGACCACACATAGTCCTTTTCTCTATAATTCATAGAGTAATATTATTCCTTGGAAGATTCTGTATATGTCATATAAAGATATCCACAAATATATCCTTATTGTTGCATGGAACTATCCCATTCATGGAACAATAAAGGGATAATTTGATATTGTCAGAAAAAAAACATAAATCTGGAAACAAAGTAAATTATGGCATAAATATACAATAAAATATGACATGGCAGTAAAAAGAATGATCAGCTCTATGCTGATATGGAAAGATGTCATAGGTGTACTGAACACTGTGGGTGATGGCCTGCCAAAAGTGAGCTGACAGTGCATGCTGAGGTCACCAGTATCTGAATCCAGCCATCACTTCTCAGTCCTCTCAACAGCATTTGACCTGGTTGTGCTCCCTCTGCTCTTTGAAGACACTACTCTTTTCAGTTTTCCTCTTACTTGACTCTCTGCAAAGGCAAATCCAGCATTTGGAGACCGAAAGCTTATACAGTTTTGAGGCCCTTTTTAAGAAAGAATATAATATTACAGATACAGAAATCAGGTAAGCACGCACATATTTGTTCAAGGAGTTCACCAGAAATGTACACAGAAATGCCTTCTGAACTCATTTCTGCCCTAGAGCACTTTATACCTCCCAGTGGCCCCTGGCACACACTGGGACCACTGCTAATGAAGGGGCCCCAAAGCAACATGGTAAATTGGCCTCTATCCCATAGGCTGGTTCCCTCTGATTTAGAAAACCCAAAGTCTCATATTTTGGTATTCAGTAACATCATTTTACTCCTCTGCTCAAATTCCCATAACAGCGCCTCATGTCACTCTCAGAATCAACACCCAGACACTGACTACAGTGCTTTGAATGGTTTGTCCTCTAACTCTCTTAACTTAACCAGTCCATCGGCTCTGTCATACTGGCATCTAGGCTGCTTCTCTGCAATACCAGGCCTACTCCTACCTCATTAGCATCTTTGCAACTGTTGATTCTTCCCCTAAGACGTCTGATATGCTCCATTTCTCAATTTCTTTCAAGTCTTTGATCAGATGGCACTTTCCCAAAGAAGTATACCCTGACCACCCTCCCTAAAATGGAAACTTCCTTCTCTGTTCCTCAGCACTTAAACCACCAAATCTTATTATGTACTGAGATTGCTTTTTATGTTTGCTGCTTATTTACCTCCTTCCACCCAAACAGAGCTCTACAAGGAAAATATTTTGTTTGTCAGTTTTATTTATTTTTATTTATTTATTTATTTTGGGGGGGGGGTCCGGTTATGGGGCCTGAACTCTGGGCCTGGGTGCTGTCCCTCAGCTCTTCAGCTGAAGGCTAGTGCTCTACCACTTGTGAGCCACAGTGCCACTTCAGGCTTTTTTTCTTTTTGCTTATGTGGTGGTGAGGAATCGAACCCAGGGCCTCAGGCATGCAAGGCAAGCGCTGTACCACTGAGCCACCTTCTCAGCCCTGTCAGTTTTATTTTTATGTATCCTAAGCTTCACATATTTAGATAAGTGCCCAGTGCATATAAAGGCAAAGAAGATAATAAGCAAACTGATCTTTAAGAAGCTGAGCAAGTCAACCAGAATGGAGTAGAGAGGGATAAAGGTAATTAAAAGACATTGCTGCTTGAATATATGTATGTCAGTCTTAGAACTCATAGGAGTCTTGTAGAAATGGAGAAAATATGGAAGAGACATTATTCAAAAAGATTCTCTTAGAAATGGAAATAAAATTTGTAGTTAAAGAAATGTGATGAATGAGCCATATAAATAAAACAAACCCCAAATTCACTATATTGGATGCAGAGAATTCTGAATATAGAAAAAAGTTAGTAGTAATAATGTAGCACTTGCAGCTAACATTTTAATAGTGCAGAGCACTAGAACAGTGTCTAAACATCTTCTGGACTGATGGCCACAATACACTGTAATGTAAGCATTATTATTACATACATATTACCTGTGATGAAATTGACACCAAGAAAAAGTCCATTAACTTGCCTACTGTCATCAGTTAATAACTAGTAGAGCTGCTATGCGAGCTTCAAGAAAATTCCAGTGAGTGTGTGTGTGTGTGTGTGTGTGTTTTGTTTTGTTGGATGTGGGGCTTGAACTCTGGGCCTAGGTGCTGCCCCTCAGCTCTTCAGCTCAAGGCTAGCACTACCACTTGAGCCACAGAGCCACTTCTGGTTTTCTGAATGGTTTATTGAAGATCAGAGTCTTTCTTGCCCAGGCTGGTTTTGAACCACAATCCTCACATCTCAGCCTCCTGAGTAGCTAGGATTAAAGACATGAGCCACTGGCACCTGGTGAGTTAATGATTTTACCACAAAAGGAATGTAGTAGAGGATGATGTGAAATTTTCTGTTTGAATCAAGGTGGGTACATTATGCTGTAAAACAAATCCCAGATTTTAGTGGCTTTAAATAAAGTTTTGTTTTTGTTTGTGTGAATGTCCATCCTGGGTAGGATGGGAACTCAGCTGTGTCATCCTTATGACACAATCCCGGCTGGTGGAGTGACTGAAGCACTGATGTTTACTGTGAAAAAGTAACCTGGGTAGCTGTGCTCCGGTTCTTGAAGCTTCCATTTGGAATTGTCAAGTGACACATATTCACTTCATTGAGCAAAGAGCAAGTTGCAGTGCCACACTTAACCCCAACAAAGACAAACTGACGTATTTCCAAAGGAGAGCTAGAAGTATAGACAGCACCATGTGCTTTCATAATTTGAGTATGTGTGTGACATAAACAGAGAGAGGGGCTGATTTTCAGGCAGGCATGAAATAAAGTGTGGTAGATTTGAACATATAAAACTGTTTATGTCAAAAATAGTTTTTAAATTATTAGACAAAGCCATTTGTAAAGAACACACTTAGGGAGTTGATGGTATGGCTCAGTGATAGATGATAGATTATCTAGTGAGCACAAGGTCCTGCATTTAATTTTCAATAACCAAATGTATATGTGTATGTAATTTCTAAATATATGTAGTAGACCCAAAATAAGGATCATTAATACATGAAAATTTTAAACAAATGGATAATTTAAAAGCAACCATCTTAAAATGGACTAAAATGATAAGTGAGAAAATGGCAAAAATGTAAATTGAAAGGTGTTCAACTAATTAGTAATTAAAGCACTGCCACTTAAAGCAGGATATCATTTCTTACCTAGAAGATGATGACAACTTGTTTTGATGAAGGTGTGTACTACCTTACTACTGGAGTGTTAACAGACAAGCAAACAAAATAGAAAGGTGCTCATCTTTCTTGAGACCATGGAGGCCAGCTTGGCAATGTGACTAAAAGTTTTAAATTTAGCCAGTATGATGATGCATGCCTATAATACTAACTACTCAAGAGGCAGAAGCAGGAGAATCATACATCTAGACCCCAGCCCAAGCAAAGTAATCAAGACCCCATCTCAGAAACAAACAGCAAGAACAAAAGGGCATGGCCTTAAGTAAGTAAATAAATAATAAAATAGAACAAAGTCTTTTAAATCTAAAATTCCTATAGCACTTCACCACAGGTAGTCTAGCTTTAAGAACTGAAATAACTAAGAGTGTACATAAAGAGTGAGGTATAAAGCTCACTGCAGCATTGCTTATAATTGAAGGAAAATGGAAATAACAATATTCAGCAGTAACAGGTTACATAAATGACTGTACAGTGGAATAGTCTGCAGCTTTTCCTTTTATTTGAAAAAGTTGTAGATGTATATGAAAATAGTCCAGAATTATTTATGTCCTGCATTATATATCCCCATATTAATGGCAGATTTATAGATTTGTCACCCTTTGTTATCTGCATTTCTAATTTTATCATAAGATGTATTATTTCTAGAGTGTTTTTAAAACATAAGAAAAATCATGGCACACATTGGTCCACTTTCTACCACCAAGTTTAACTTATGCCCAGCCTCGATAATCTATCCTTAGAACAGAACTAGGCCCCTGTTATATATCTTGGATACAGAAGGATTCCATTCACTCTTGCTTTGAGTTTAACTCATGAACTCTCACCATCCCTCTTACACACTCCCTTTTTTTGCCTTTCCCAGTCATTTTCATTCTTTTTTTTTTTTAATTTTTAACATCTTTATAATCCCAGCTTTTCTAAAGACTAGGACCCAGACTTACTGTCTCTCGCTAATCACCATCCTGGGAATCAGATCATTGCTCCAAAGTTTTATGCTAGTGTCAGCAATCCAGTTTATCCTAATGTATAAGTTGACTGTGGTTCTACCCTTCCTGTATCTTCTCAGATGGAGTTGCCACATTCTACCTGCTGATCAGCACATCCAGCTTCTATGCTGTATTGGGCAAGCATTTGTTCCATTGCCTCTGCCACCCCTGCTAAACACCTAGTTCCATCCCTAAACTGCTCAGCCTCCCGACACACTCTAGTATTGAGGCTGATTCTAGCTCCCTGTACTCCCCACAGTTTTCTAGGCCACTGTGGTTACCTATAGTCATCCTTATACATTTCTCAGCTGTTAGATTTCTCCGAGGTATTTCTCCTTTCCTGATAAAACACAAGAAAATAAACTAATAGTTAGAAGTATGCATTTTCTGCTGCCATTCAAAGTTTGGGTGGCAAACAGTGAGAAATCCTTGGGAAACTGGCACTAGGCAGTTGTGGTTGCACTGTTAACAATAAATAGAAGCTACCGATAGAGGGCACCCTTCCTCTTTGCCAGGCATGGCACGGATTCCATTGCCGTGCCTCCCAGTAGGACATAGTAGTAAATTCTCTGATTTCATAACTGTTAACTGCTTGTGTTTTCCAATGTTATGTCCAGGTATTGCTTTGTTTTTCCCGGGATACGTCTGTTCTGGGTCACTTTTCATACAACAGTGCTTCACCACCAAAATCCTACATAAGAGGTAATATTTTAGTAATATCAAGGAAGTATGCTGTAAAACTACAGACTTGTGCTAGGAATGTTTGTTTATATCTTACACTGGTGTTCCTGAGTTCTAAATTGTTTCATAATTCTCCCAGATGACAGCACCATCCCCTCAGTCCCTTCACCCTCACTTCAGTGCCCAGAAGACAGCCAGATGGTTCTCGAAGCAGCATTTCAGGGGACTATGTTTGCTGTTTCCTTGGTTATTGCTTTTGCTCTTTGCTTTGGTTTTTCTTTTCCTTTAGGACTGTAAGTTTATCTCACTGATTGGCTTTACAAATTTTCTAAGCTTTTTATAACCTACCCTCAAAATGTGCTACCACACTCACAAATTTGATATAATTTGTGCACATTAGCCCTCTAATACCTATTAGTGCTTTCTTCTCCTCTTTATCACTAACAGCCTTATGGTATCACTGCTTCAATATCCCACCATTGCTTGAAAGCTAAGTAAATGTAGCTGACAGCGAGCTCCACTTCTCTTTGTAAAGTGGTGTACACAGGCCTGGAAGCTCACTACCCTAGGTGTATGGTCCTTGGGCGGCTCATGTGTCTCCTCAGTGTGACACATTTGTGCCCCAGAATTGCCCACATCATCTTGGGTTGGAGTGAGGCTTCCCCCAACTTGAGGCTCTCTTAGTTGTATTGCTTCTAAAGTGAATCTATAGAGGCCTGAAAATCTGATTATCTAGTGGACTGAACTATGGTTTTAGGGCCCTCAACTAATTCTCAGTTTAAGCGAGCTAACTAGCCTCCTTAATTATCACACAATGTACCATATTTTGTCTTGCCACCATATAGTCTTTGTATATGGAAAGGTTTCCATTCCTCTATGCTTCAATTATAGGTCCTTGAAGAACTAGCCTACCACTCACCATGTACATCATCCTATCACCAATACTCTTCACTGAACCTCTAAGCACTTAAAGTCTGTTTTTAAAAATAGTAAATATATTCTGTTTTTCTGTGTTAACCTGGAATCAAAAACACATGACTAAGAGATTATATCTAATATTTATTTTGTTTGCCTCTTAAATACCTAATGTAATAATCCATGTCTGTTTATTTTTTATTTCATTGTCACCCAGCACAAAGATAAGTCTGTTGTATCTCTACTGTAACCTAACCCTCTCATACTTTTTATTCTTCATCTTTTCTCTTCCACTACCCCTAACAATAACAAAAAGAATTCAATTAAAATTTTTACTTTAAACCCAAGTGCAAGAGCACATGTCATTTCAGTAGACTCAAAGGTGTTGTTGAAAAAACTGTCAAGATAAAAGCTACCGGGGCTGGGAAGGTGGCTCAGTGGTAGAGCGCTTGCCTTGCATGCATGAGGCCCTGGGTTCAATTCCTCAGCACCACATAAGCAAAAGAAAAAAGCCGGAAGTGGCACTGTGGCTCAAGTGGTAGAGCGCTAGCCTTGAGCTGAAGAGCTGAGGGACAGCGCCCAGGCCCAGAGTTCAGGTCCCACGACTGGACCCCCCCCCCCCCAAAAGAAAAAAGATAAAAGATACCTAAGATAAGTGGTATCCCTAGGGAAGGTGCTCAGAGGTAGAGTGACTACCTAACATGCACAAGACCTGGGTTCAGGCAGATGGCTCATGCCTGCAATCCTGTCTACTTAGGAAGCTGATACCTGAGGGATCCAGGTTCAAAACCAGCCCTGAGCAGAAAGTTTGGGAGACTCCATTTGTAAAATTACCAGCAAAAAGGCAGGCTAGCGATGCTGCTGGTGTAGAGCACAAATTACAAGCCATGCAAGGGTGAGGTCCTGAGTTCAAACTCTAGTACCAACAAAAATGGTGGGAGAAAGCTAATTTTTAAAACTATGTCAAACATTTGATCACAATGAACATGCTTTCCTAGAGCAATTCTAATTTCAAATATTTATCCCTATTCTCTGGTCCTATGAACCATTTTGGGAGCTAGAAAATATGACTACTTTATAGTTAAAATACATTTAAATTTTAACTTCTCAGCACATTCCTAAAAATACTAAGAAGATACTGAAAAGCTTAGGACCTGGGTTAATAAATAGGATTGTTTATATTTGCAAAGCAATTTTATGTTTATAAATAGATTCCTCTCAAATTCTTAAGTAGCTTGAAAGCATTTTTTATATTTTGATTTTAATTCACCTCAAAGTTTGCTAATGTTGGCAGATTGGGGGCTGGCAGATTTTCAGATTTAATTCCATATCATGAAATAAAATAGACTAGTTTTTAAATTTCCATTAATTATTGCTATACTTACAGAGCATTAATTTAAATTTGTATTTATTCATATTAAAACTCTCTTTCTTACAGGAAAACTAGGATTAGAGGAATATGCTGTCTTTTATCCACCAAATGGTAAGAGTAAAGCAATGGCTTCCTCTAGTGGGAAGTGAGAAAATTACAACTTTCATATTAAGAATGTGACTTTTTTTTAATTCTTTCTCTTTAAATGAAAAATAATTTATCACCTAAAGCAAACATTCTATAGACTCTTTCTACATTTGTGCTAGGTTTGTGCTCAACCATATACTTTCTGGTTTTCCTTAGGACATAGTAAATTTGTGGGAAAGCTGAGCTTAAGTCCAGGGCACTGAGTCTTCCTGTGAAGAACATTAACTAGTTCGATAGGGCCTTCCTCCTGACATTGTTGGAAGATCAACATGGAGTGAATCACCTTGACCAGTGTGGCATTTAGGAAATGCAAAGATTATAAACAAAGACCACTGAAGTCTTATTTTGATTATATGAAGTGATCATATGATCTCATAGTTAATATTTAGGTTCTAACCATGCCTTTGAGCTGCTTAGACAGTTTTTAAGATATACTTCTTGGGAAAGCATTATATAGTGTCCTAATAATGATAATGTTAAGTTGCATCCTAAAGTTCTTTTACCCCAGCAGAGTTAAGAACATGGGCTTTGTAATCCAGCAGACCTGGGTTCAGATCTCAGTTCTACCAACTCCCTCTATGACCTTGGGTATGTTCCATGACTTCTGTGAACTTCAGATTCATCAATGGTAGCATGTGGATAATAGATTAAGTGAGATGCAATATGGAAACCATTTGCACAGTGCCTGCCATGTAGTGAGTGCTGGGAGAAGGGAGGTGTAGCAAGTGTGCTGACTTGTCACCCAGTAAGCTAAGCTTTCTTGCTTTCGTGGCACCTTTTCAGTGTAATGTCCCGTTCCCTGCCTCCCTTGCACTCCTGCCCTGCTTCAGACACCTCACTCTCACTCTGCTTCTCTGCTTTCCCCACAGGGCCTAGCCGCTCCCGTCCTCTTTCATGGGTCTGTCTGTATTTGTTCATTACTCTAACATTTCTAGCTCTGTTTCTCACCTCTCCTGTGGTGATATCAAGCTTAAGTGACCACAACTTAATATATTATCTTCCTTTGCTCCCCAAAAGAAGAAAAAAAATCTCAATTAAAAAATAAGACCCGCCATCATTATCGATTCAGTAACTCAGGACCTAAAACCTGTTAGGCCTGCTAGCTTCCTTTCAGTTTTGTCCCTCATTAAATAAGTCTCAACAACCTTCCTGTTTCATCTTCCATAAACATCTGGGATCCTCTCTTCCTAGCCATAACTGCCACCTTGCCCTCTTTCAGGCTCTACCATCTCTAGCTTACTAAGAGCAGCCTTCATTTAGATGGCCTCATCTTCTTTCACTAATCAGTCTGAGTTGAACAGCTCAAGTGAAAATCAGAAGACTGTTCTTTTCCTAAAAGCTTTCTTAATGTTTCTGGGATGCTTAACATCCAAGCTTCTCAGTATATACATATATACCTACACACACATACATATGCACATACATACATTCAAAAATACGGGTCTCTCCAGTCTGATTCTCGCCAGTCTGTCTCTTAGCTTCATTTTCACCATTTCATTTCACATCAGTAGCATACTTTTTTATTATTTTTACACACAGCCACATACTCTCACAAAAAAGTATTGAAGCACTGTCCTGCTTTCTACCTCATCACTTTGTCTGTCCCCAAGCTCATAGACGATCATTGTCAAGGCCCAGTTCAGACATGACCTTCGGCATGAAGCTTCCTAGAACACCCTGCCTGCCTCTCGGCGCTCACACTGCCTGGTGAGGAGACCTTGGGCATCTCTTACTGTGTTATCTTGACATTGTTTATACTTTATTTCTTCCTCGATATTGCAGTTTTCAGAAGATCCAAGACTTATATTTTTATTTAATGTGTTTCATTTTTACCTCTAGTATCTAAGCATATATTAGTAGTATAATGAGTGTTTATTCAAACTACATTAGATGCTTCTAACTTTAAACTTTATGTGTGTATTATATGTGCGTAAGTACATGTCACACACACATACACACATACATATATGTTCACAAGCAATAGTGAAAGTGAATTTTCGAGACCCTTTCACAAGAATAATTTAAAACTAGCCAGGCGCTGGTGGCTCATGCCTGTAATCCTAGCTACGCAGGAGGTTGAGATCTAAGGATCGTGGTTCAAAGCCAGCCTGGGCAGCAAAATCCATGAGACTCTTATCTCCAGTAAACCATCAGAAAACCAGAAGTGGCGCTGTGGCTCCAGAGGTAGAGCGTCACCTTGAGCTAAAGAGCTCAGGGACAGGGCCCAGGCCCAGAGTTCAAGCCCCACAACTGACAAAAAAAAAAAATATATATATATATATACTAAAACTAAAATAATATATAAATCACTCCAGCAAATCAGACTGGAATTATTTTATATAAAAGCTAATAGCCCTGTAAAAACCAGGAAGGCACTTAAAGTAGACAGAGGTTTTCTTCCCAGCAACCCATATCCACACCTGCTATTACCTTCCCTAGGCGGGAAGAGCCAGCCACAGTGGCTTCAGGCAGCATTCTCACTCAGTTGAGGACTGATCAGTAAATTCATTACATAGCTAGTATGCGATGTTTCTTAGCTAAGGAAGGCATCTCCCAGGAATTTTGTGAGCTTTCCACGTTTGTTGTTGCTATTGTTGTTATTCAGTATTATAAATTACTTTATTCATGTGATGAATATTTACCTAGCCCTGTTCTGGCTGACTGTGGGTGAGTGAGCCACAGGAAAGAACACCATCAAATACTTACTGCAAAGGAGTTCATAGTAAAGGAGATATTCAAGAGAGAGATAACAGAAGATATACAAGAGAGAGGGAGAGGAAAACCTGTCAGAGAGTGATGTGAATGATAAAGTAACCAGAAATTGTTGGAGCTTGGGGAAGGCATGGAAAGAGTCAGGAAAGAGGCCTCTGAGGAAATAAAACAGAGCAGACCATAAAGTACAGAATAAGCCATGCAGAGAACTGGAGGAGCGCAGTCCAGAGGGAGTGTGTGGCATGTTTGAAGGTTTGAAGGCCAAAGGTAAGAACAAGCCTGATGCCGAGGTATGACTGAAGCCAATGAGCAGAGACAAGACAGGCCTCGCCAGTAACTCCTGTCCAGTAACTCTAATGTCTGGCCTTCCTAAACAGTTTATCTTCATTTTTCTTTTTCTTTTTCTTGTGAATGGCCTATGCTTTATATGTTAGTTTGCCTAATAGTTAGTGAAAATTGGCTGTCTTGCCTGTTACAATGTGATAAATGGAAATTAAGACTCACTTCCTCAGCCCAGAATTTGTTGTTATACTTTATAATTTTTTAGCAGTTGCCCTCAGCTTTTTTTTTTTGGCGGGGGGGTCCGGTCATGGGGCCTGAACTCTGGGCCTAGGCATTGTCCCTCAGCTCTTCAGCTCAAGGCTAGCACTCTACTACTTGAGCCACAGCGCCACTTTCACCTTTTTTTATTCTGCTTATGTAGTGTTGAGGAATTGAACCCAGGGCCTCAGGCATGCAAGGCAAGCGCTCTACCACTGAGCCACCTTCCCAGCTCCCTCACTCTTCTTATAAGGATCATATTCATTGTCTTGTGTGCCTGCTGAAGTGTCCATTATGTCAACTTAATAAGTCAGCTAGAGATTTGACAAGAGGTTTCATTAAATCTGCAACTCAAAAGTAAAAAGCAGAAACATTTCTCCTAGATTTTATGGATTGGTTTAGAGTTTTGTCAGGCCATTTACAACTCTACCTTAGTCTTCATGTCCTTTTTTAACAGGTCCTAAAAGCCAGTCAGAGGTGAAAACCTAAGGTCTTTTCAGGTCTCTTCTAGATCCCCCTGTATCCTGTACACAGGAGCTTTTCGAAGCATTTATTCCCTCATGCAGCTCCTGTCCCATGCTTTCCAGTCTGTCTAGCACTTGCCCATCAGTTACTCTTGTTCCTCAGGTGCTGTAGGTAGTGTATTCACCTTGAAATGCTCTTGACAAATGCTGCCTGGCTAGGCACTTCAGTCATAAGGGTAAATCTGAGCCACACTCTCAGGTAGCTACTAGACAGGACAAAACACGGACAAGTTTTGTTGTTGTTTTGTTTTTCCATACAAGCAAGCTACCAGGATTGTGAGCTATTATGCTCATGGCTGCTGCCAGACTGGAGAATGGTGTTTGGAGGTGGTAAGTTAAAACACTGTAGTGTTCTCTTACCAAGATTTCCCCTGGTTACTATAGGATTATTGGATTCTAGCAACCAAAAAAGTTGACTCTATCATGCCTATCAGCTTAACCTCTGCTTTAAGGAGGGAATGAGTTTGGGAGTTCCTTATCCCACTCATCTAAGCAACAGATCTCCAATTACTGATTAATACCTTTAAATCATCAACCGCCTGTTATGTAGAATGCAACTGCAGTAAAACATAATCCCAAGGAGTACAGGACTTTATTGCTTCTTGACTTTTGGCTAAGATCAAGTGGAGAACAGAACTTCAATAGTTTTGATGACAGATTTATCCAGGAAATAGGAGCATGAATGCATAGTCTGCTCAGTGAACAATGCTGAATAAATGCATGAGGGAATGACTATGGAAGAGTTCAGAGGAACAAGAGCAGAAGCAAGGAGATTTTTTTTAAGGAAAAATACAAATCTGGGTGAGATGTAATTACAAGTGACTTCTAAAAACTAATTTATTAATAGTGTTTGTCTTTTACACAGTAGAAAAAACAATTGCTAAAAAACATTAGATAGGGAGGTTTCAGAGCTTTGAAGCAGTGGTCAACCAGAGGCCATTCCCACAGCGTATAACACACACACACACCACCCCTCTCTTCACACACACACACACACACACACACACACACACACACACACACACACACACACACACACACACACACACACACACACACACACACACACACACACACACACACACACACACACACACACACACACACACACACCACCCCTCTCTTCCCAGGGAACAGCTGGCTGAAGACTTGTTCCAACCCCTCTGGAGGAAGGCAGTGCTGCCAGCT